ATCAGTAACACATATCAAACTATGTGACATCATTCACTGAAGAAGACTTCTGTAACCTGTACTCTTCATCTTGATCAGTCTGCACACTCAGGATGTGATCACAAGAAACGTCCTAAATCTCCACATTAGCGCCTTCTCTGCTACGCTGTTTTCTTTAAATGTCACCAAACACTTTAACATTCTGCCCAAAGCTTCGACTGCACAGGAGCATCAAACCCAGGAGCAGGAGGACACATGCTGGGTCAGTGCAGATTTGCCTGCAGTCAGGTGACTCCACAGGAAAAGTAAGCTCACAGACTGAAAGGTCTGAAAATGCCACGAATGCTTTATCAAGAAACGAAACAGAAAGTTCAGCCGGAAATGTCCTCCTCTTCTTAAGCTCCTCTTCCTCAGCACCACAAAGACATATCACGTTTCAGCTTTCTGAAAGCTGCTACTGACGCTTCCAGTCACCTCTGATCTTCTCTGCAGCTGTGACGCTGTCAGAGTTCAGCCTCCATCAGCTGATTGCAACTGATTAACATCTGATTCATGTGTCGATCCTGCCCCGAGTCTCGCCTCTCATGCTGCATGCAGTCTAAACATCTGCAGAAAGAACTCAGGTCTAAATCGGTCTAAAGTTAAAATGCCACTCAAGGAGTCGGGTTCAGCATCAAAGTGACTAAGATGAAGCATCTTCACTGTTTGCTATGATGAAACCATCAGATGACACCATCAGTTTAACACCTTGAGCCAGCTGAGAGCGGGTGAACCTGATTCTTCTTAAATTTAGTTCATTTTATTTATAGAACTTCCCTTCAAAAAACTCATTATATTCTGTAAGGTAAAGCACAATATCTGGGAGAGACACCTAAGAAATCAGACAACACTCGTGAGCAGCAGCTACTACCCTTGGGAATGAAAAATTCCACTTTAACAGGAAAAAACCTCCAACAGAACCAGGATCAGGGAAAAACAGCAAGTAGAAGAAGGACAGAGAGACCACAGAGAGCGGGCCGAGTACAATAACATGTTTTATATAAATTTAGAAGCAGGAAATTGCAGGTCATCCAGCTTTTTATCAGACAGGGGTCTCAAACTGGTGGCCCGCAGGCCACTTCCCACCCACGTCACATTACTTACAGCCCTTATATTGATGTGAAAATATATAATGCAGTTTGGCCCTTGAAGTGACTCTTTTTTTGTTAGGGGGGATTTGTTTGTTGTTGAGTTCAATGTTAAAATAATTCTTTAAAAAGCAAAAACGTATTTAATATGAAGGCAATATGAGCAGAGAGTACAAACATGCTGAGGGATTGGCTGTGTTAGTTGAGTGAGAGAGAGTCAAAAACTAATATGTACACTTATGTCTGCCTTTTTATTTGGTTAAATACGAACAAAATGATAACAGAAGTGCTGCCACGTGTCTGGCCAGAAAGAGAGAACCAATTTTGTTATTTGGCAGTTCGATGAAAGGCTTCAGTTAGTTAAGAGGGAGAAAAAATAATCTGCGTTCACGTTTGCAGATTTATCTTGTTATACAATATTTGAAATTTAAAAAACAAAACAAAAAACAACTACATTTTAGGAAACGTTTGTGGGTCTTTTCTTGTTTGGTTGGGGTTTTTTTGTACTACTTGAACACTAAAGTGGCCCTCCAGTGAGACGACAGTGCCAGCAGTGGCCCACAGCTCATTTAAGTTTGAGACCCCTGCTCTAACTTATTGGTGTGTGTTATCTGGCTTCATGGATAGATAAAGTTGGGTGTCATTTGCATAGCAGTGAAAATGTATGCTATGCTTTCTAACCACACTGCCTAAGGGAAACGTATAATGTAAAAACTAAACTAAACCAACCCCACTAACTGCATGTCTTTGGACAGTTGGGAGAAAGCTGGAGTACCCGGAGAGAACCTATGCAAACACGGGGAGAACATACAAACTCCACACAGAAAAGGCAAAGTGAATTCAGCGAGCATGGCGGACACTCCCTGCACCACCATGCCCTGGCACGCGCAGCGGAACAGCAACTCCAGGTCTGTGGTGGGCAGCTGCCAGGTTCTGCTCCAGCTAAACTAAAGTAAGTAAAAATTGAAACAAACCAAAGACTGTAATCCTGTCCATCTGTCGACCTCTTGTTTTTCTCTAAATGGAGCAGCTATGATGTTCTTTATATGTTTTGTTTTCCAGTTGAAACCTGTGAAACAGCTCAAAATGGAGCTTCATCTACTGTCTATCAAAACCATGAGGAACTTTTCCAGGTATTTTTCTGAAAATTGGCCTGAAGTCTGGATCTTGAATAGAAATATTTAACATAGTAACAGTAAGGAGGTTGTTATTCCTTCACCTTCTCCCAAAGAACCAATCAGGAGCTGAACAGGGAACATATGAACCAATTATCTTGCTGCAAACAATTAAAGAACAAAAGAGGCCGGGAGGAGAGACAGTGACCATCTAATGTTCAGGTGACAAACTAATGGAGATATGAACTTTGAGGAGGTGGTGAGGAACTTTGAACTTTGATTGAAGCGAGACCCAACAGGAGTGAATAATACTGCTGATTGACATATGTGGTGTGATAAATACATTAGAGGATAACCTAAGAAACCAGAGCCTGAAACTGGACCAGCTGTCACATCAGCCAAGAGAAGCGCTGATTTTCAGATGCCTGTAAGGAGCGACGCTGGGACTAGATGGTTCTGCTTGTGATGGACTGAATGTCTGGGACTTAACCTGGTCTCTGTGGGCGACGACCCTTGGCCCCTAAACACCTGTTCAGAGGAAAGACGAGTTTCAGCTAAACAAACTGTAACTAGCAGCAGTTAGTATTTTTAGGTATTTACAGGCGATCTTTTGTGTCATGGTCTGCAGTGGGTGGCTGGAATTTC